GCAGGAGCTGTGGCCAAGTCTTTGTTATGGCTAAAAATGGGTAGCAAAATCATAAAATTTTATGTGCAATTCGGGAAACACACTGCGAAAAAACGATTGCAAATTTATTTCATTGCTTTTATATGAACGTCCATCTGCTGCTCGTTCGTTCGTTCGTCCATTTGGTTTGGTTTGGTGTTGGTATTGTTTAAATTTAGCCTCCAGTGTTGTTGGCAAAAAAAATATACACAAGGAAAATAATATCTCTTATGGACTTTTGTAGCGTGTTGTTTATGATACTCAGGACAACAGAGATTTGCTACTTCTTCTGCTTCTTCGGTATACCGACGTACATATATAAAAATACCTAATAAAGTTATAAAGCGTGGAATGTAAAGAAAATAAAAAGACAAGTTGGAATATAAATATTGGCATTTTTTGTCGAAAAAAAAATGTCAAAATTTAATTATAATTTGTTTCCTTGGAAATTGCAAGGATGATATATCCGTTATATATCCGTTTCAAAATCGTGGATTCTAAAATTAATTCATTTATAGGGAGACATTATATCTGAGTTAAAAAATCGATGTGAAAGTGTTTCCATTCGAAAAGCCATTCCGGAACAATTCTACACTAAATTTGATATCAAAAAATTATTTTCGATTTTTTCCATTTCCCAAACTGGGCGGAAAACATCCAATTCCATCGAAAATGGTCCACATTCTTCGGCCTAGACCTGAGGCTGCTTCATTTTCCAAATTTACAATTAATTCCTTGGCAAAAAAATACCTAAAAAATATAATGAGGAATTATTTTATATACATTTGCGAATGAGCATTTGATTCATAGACTACTACGAATTATAAAATTAACTATGACCGCGAGCCTCTCCATAAGGTAGTCCTTAACATATTATAACCTGCAGAATTTAAACATTCTTGTGGTAACTCAGAATTGTCCTCAGAAATAAAATTCTCAGTGGCAAAATTAAATTTCAAAAATTTTCAAATTTAAATTCCTTTACAGTTTCATTTTCTCTCCCTCTACATTTTTTCCTAACCTTTTTCATTTACCGCTCGATTGATGGCAACTATAGCTATTCAAGACTATTTCCAATTGAATGGCGACAATTGGGTATTCTTTGACGACTAGACAGACGACTGTTTAAATCGTTGTCTGGATTTCGCTTTTTTGTTTGTTTGAAATATTTTCATAGAGCTATGAGACTTATTTAGAAAATAAGCTCTTTGCTGCTTTCAATGATTTCTTTTCTGGCGCTTAAAGGAAACGACAACAACAACTCCAACACAAAGGACTGTGCAAAGCAATAATGAATATTAACTGAATTGAGAGCATAGAATTGATGTTGGCCAAGTATCAGACGACGACGACGCGTCAATATAAAATACTTCTGCTTCTTCTTCTCCTTGCTGAACATAAAGCCTGAAGGGATGTTGAACTTTGTCAAAAAGTGAACACACACACCCAGACACACAATTCTTCATCTCTTTGCATTTGAAGCTGTTAAAGCTTGGAATAAATTTATGGCTTATCTACAATTGCTGGAAGACACAAATAATGGCAAAACGCAGACGAAGGCAATGCGCAGGTTGTAGATGTTATAGCTAAATCGAGGGGTGAGAGAGACACATTGTAAATATCCATGAAGGATATACTTGTATACAAGAAGGTTATGTCAAGGTTATGCACTGACTCGTTTGCGTATGCTTAACAAAATTTGATTGGACCTTATGTTAAGTATACGTACCCAGGCCCTTTGTAGTAAACATTTTTTAATGGGGAAGTCCACAATTCAGGCGAAACAACGACCTCCATAAAATAAAGCACAATATACACAAAGTTATATCTTTGCCACACAACAATGGTATCTGCGGCATTTATCACGAACATGAAATTCCGCTGTAACAACCTCAAAACACAAAAATGGAGCATTCAAATGAATTGCAAAAAATTCCAACAACAACAACAGCACTCATTTTGTATAAATAAATAACTAAGGAATTGAATGAATCATCATCGTCATCATCATCATCGAGCAACAACTCTTTCATGTTTTGTTTTGTATTCCTAACAAAAACAACAACAGCTATAAGTGGTCGCTCGGTCGGACACAAGGAAACAATGCTCTAATGAAATGAACACTCTCCATAAGGTATAGATATTGTTGTTGTTGCTGTTTTTGTGAACATTTGAAAGGTTTCATCATCATTAGAAGCAGCAACAACATCACCATGAACAGCAACAGAATGAAAAAGTGAATGAATATTCTGTGTGGCTATTATGACGTACGCTCCGCCGCTATACACCTATCTTATATTTACACACACACACACACACAAAACAAAATATTATGGACAAGGCAATACCGCCCTCGCACACTAACACACACACGCGCACCTAACAACGGGGTGGAGATATAACAAAAAAGATATATAATAGTATTGGTGCTTGGCATTGAAAACCCAACCCATCCATCCCCCAAAAATTTTGCTGACAATACCACTAACTATGTATCTATGTGTGAATGTGTGGATATAAATATACTTACTCAAGCGCACACCAAACAATTTAAGTACGTCAGTAAATGTCAGTGTAACGTCATCACAGTAGATTTTTTAGAACACACAGCCAAGAAATGAAAAGAATATCTGCACAGCACAGCAAGAGAGTAGGGGCAGGGGTGAGGGTGGAGGAGGTAAATGCCGAAACCCACATAACAAAAACAAAACATACAAAAGAAGAGTTATTCAATTGAGGCCGGCCGGCTGGTTGTTTGGTTGGCTGACTTAACTAACGGCCTGCTGCTGCTGCTGCCTAGATGGCTGGTGGTTAGTTATGGAAATGCCAAACCCTGCTTAGCAACAGTTTGTCAAAAGCAAAAACAAAACAAAAAACGTAAATAATACTTTGCAAAATTTGTTGTGGCGGTGTGAAAGCTAGAGGGAGAGTGTGAGTGAGAGGATGTGATTGAATAGCGGCAAATTCTTATACGAAAACGGAAATTTACAGAAATATAAATTTTGAATGATAGATTTGCAATGTAGAGGTTTAGGGGCACATTTTGGAATAGACATTTTAAAGAAGATCTAAACATTTTAAAATTATTTTTTCTGTATATTTTATTCAGTAATAACTGAATGAAAAATTATGGGCGGACATTTCAAATAACGTGGATTCCTAGGTGAGCCATTTGCAAAGTTTTATTACATTTTTGAAAACTATTTTGCATCGATTTCTATCGGCTTCACGAAGTATAGGAAATTCTTTCAGGACGTGAAACCCCCAATTTAATTTTTTTTCCAAATCAGGAAAATAATTGTGGAATTTAACTTATCACCGATCACGACAAGTCGCCAGTTATAATCGCCTATGGTTGAAATTCGCACAAAAATCGAAGACGAACCAAAACGCAGACAATTCAAATAATTAGTGAACATTTTATAAACATTCAAAACTGCAGACATGTCCACCATAAATGAGGGATATGAATAGAATACAAAAATTCACAATTTTCAAAAAAAAAAAATTAACAAAATTAAGATTTAATAAAACTTGATACGATTTTGTGGGCGAGAGAGTTAAAGGGTTTCCTCTCCCATCAACTATCTTATCTTCAAAATACCGAATAGATACAATTAAAAGTGTCTAATGTAAATTAGGATTTAAAAATGTGACTGAGAATATTCTAAAAACTATAGAGGTTTCATTTCAATTGTTTATAAGACCTCACATTCCTCGTCATAACGGCATTCTCAGCTGAATTTCCAAGTAGATTTCAATTTAGATTTGTGGTTAAATGATTATTTTTATTTGTGTTTCGTGTTTTTGCCTTTGTTTCGGTTTTATTTTCAAAAAAAAAAAAAAATGATTCAAATACACATTTTTTGCGAAAGGTCAGTGAGTAGGAACAACAATAACAAAATTATAATTAAACACACCCACAATAATATTTCGATGCGAATATTTCAACAACAACAAAAAAACATAACACATAGCTGGTAAATTACATTAAATTGTTGTTGTTATTGTTTTGAATTCATTGAAAATATGGAATTTCCCTTGAATATTGAATAATAATAATAAAAACAACAAGTTACAATTTTTCACTATTAATGGAATTTGTATTTTTTGTTTGTTTTGTTTTTGTCGGCTTTTCCCTTGTCATTGTGCCGGTATTTTTCCTTTGAAATGCCCAATGGTTTGCGTGTCATTGGTTTTTCGTGGAAGTAAAATACCTCTCTTCTCTGTCTCTTTGTGCACCCTAGGGCCTAATAAAAAACTCGTAGCCTAAGAGACACAGTGTCTGGTAGTTTATATTTGAAAAATTCAATAATATATTGAACATGTTTCCATTTGTTTTCAACGAACATTTTCTCTGATTACTGAAATTTAGCTAAATTTCATCTGTTGCCAAAAATGAACCCAAAAAATATTCATCAAAATAATTGAAAGACAAATGTTTTGCTTCCGATTGCTTAAGTATTGTTGACATATTCCCTTCTGAATGCCATGGCTTATTCGTCTTGACCATGTTACCCATTCATCAGAAAATGTCATTGCCGTTAGAAGAGGGCGGACAGGCGGGGCGCTGTGTGCAGGAGGGGCCAAAGGCAATTGCAAGCATTAATTGAGTTGAGACGTAACAAAGTGATCGTCTTTCAGAATAGCTGCCATATATTGTTATGACGACAATGGCATGCCATGGCATGGCATTGTTGACAAGTCTCTTTGCTTATTCAAGGTCACATTTTAATTACAAAAATATTTGAAATAAAGGAAGAATAAGAAGAAAAATAATAAAATAACAGAATATTTCTTTTGAACATTTTGCGGCCAAATAAACAATGACCTGCTGGTCTTATGCAATTATTGTATAAATGTGTGTGTGAGTGTGTGTGTGTTTTTTTTTTTGCTTTTCTGTTTTTGTGTCATATTTCCGTTAAGCAATCTTAATTGTTGCTAATTCGTTTCTTTTCTCTTCCGTCTCTTTTTTCTTCCAGTTCACGCAAACGTCCACCTTCGTGTGCAACGACGGAATGCAATGGTGGCGATCAATACGATGAAGAGGAAATGAATGAAAATAATGCGGCCATGATTTTGGTTACACTGTCACTTTCTCCAAAGTCACCCAAAAATGGAGGTAAGTATTGGTCATTAAAAGCAGCAGTAGCAGCAGCAGGGTAATGTGATTAATGTGAAAAAGACATAGAAGAGGAAGAAATAAAAAAGAAAAAAGGAAAGCAAAAAAATAAATAATTATCAATTGACAATGAAATCATCAGCAATTATGACATAGACATTGAAAGTTTAAAGATGAGGGTAGTTGTATTATTATTTTTTTTAATACTTATTCATATTTCTATAAATATAGCTAATATATAGGGGAAAAACCTCATACTGTGAGATACATAGATACATGGAACATAGCAATATTAAACCGAAATATATGTATGAGGCAAACGTCACTGAAGTATTTTTTTTACCAAATACATTTTGCTCTGTTGGAGAACCGTCAAGGACTAATCATTTTCTTGCAGGTTGTGCAATTAATTTTTCAACATTTGCAAAGTTTTGTTTTATTTTGAATAAATATTTTTTTTTGTTATTCGTTAAAAAGTTCCCCTGTCTTTTTTATATTCATGATTGAAATATTCCCAACTACCGCCGAATGACTTCATTATTATTATTTTGTTTCAAAATGAATGAGAATCTTTCTATTGTTTGTCATCGTGATTTGTTTCAAAAATTAGCTGTCATGATGAATTGTTGCAATTACATGAAATGACACTTTAATAATACACCATTTATATTTGAGAGAGTCTAGTGTCAAAGTATTTAAAGTGGTTGCCATACCGAATACATTTAGTCTCATGACAAAAAAATGGATCTTAAATTTAGTTTTTTAAAAATCACTGAAAAAATTAACATATGGACGCCTCCGAACCATAGTATGCTAAGTAGACGTAGCATGTTTTAAAGTTCTTTACGCTTTTAGATACTACGGTCCTTAATTTAAATTCACTGAAATTTTGGTAATCATCGTCCAATCCAAACCAAAGTTATAAGCAAAAATGTACTTAGCATGGCACGTACGATAAAAGAAACTTCCATACTTTGAAAGCTTCTACTGAAAAACTCACTTTTCAGACTTAGCATACTATGGTTCGGAGGCGTCGATATATGTGCAGAACTGGCAGAATAATATGGAGTCCTTCCTCATAAAAAAATATTCATTCTGCTAATTTTTTAATTTTTCAAATACAATACTTCCCCGTTCTTAATTATACGTATATTTTTATTTTCCTTTTCCCAGATAAATGGCTTGGTTCCAGTCCCGGTAGTTCATCGGCCTCATGGAGTTCGGGATCTTCATCGCCGCCCCTAAGTGACGATGGTCACAATATGGGCGTAATCACAAATGATGCCTCGGCCAGTGCCCGAATACGCACCACATCTGTCTCAACGTCCGATGAGGGTATCGTTGTGGATTTCAAAGAAGATGTACCGCGTAAAAAGAGGGTAAGTTGCAAACATATACATAACTATTACTATAAAATGTGTGCTAGTATTAGTGACCGTAATAGAAATGTAATTACAGCCATCTTCATTTGCTTGCATTGAAATGCAATGAAGCTGCAATGTCTTTTCAGAGACACTCTCCCTCATACTCTGTGGTGTGTGTGTGTTTGTGTGTGAAGAAGACCGCCTTGGGCAGCTTTAATTTGGTCATGCACCAATTTCTTTTGTACCAAAAGGCTATTTTGTGTGATATAAAATGTTATATCAAAGCTACATCTATTACACAAATTAATGCCACTTTTCGGCGTTAGCGTTCATGAATAGCAAGCAGTCCATCCATCCATCTGTATGTCTGTCCGTCTGTCTATCGGTCGGAATGAGTAAATGAATGGCCATAATGTCCGCATTATATATATACATTGTAAAGTATTCGGTGCCGGCAATAAATCATTTTGCATCTAAACATAATTCGTTGAAAATGTAATGGCAATGCGTGTATGCCGCCATCGCCACCGTTCAAAAATCTAAAAGGCAGGCCATGAATTTCATGTAAACGCACAAATAATCAGACACACACTTACACACATAGCCATCTCTATACAAAACACACACACAAAATTACTACACTGACAAAATTAGAACATCCACAAAACTGTTCTTGCCGCATTTTAATTTTCAAATGAAAAGATTTTTTTGTTTTTGATAAATTGTTTTAATAAAAATTAAGGTGAAGGATAGATGTTTGTTTTTTCCTTCTTCTATCGTCGAGCAACCGGTCATTTTATTTGCTGCGTTTTTTTTAAATAGATGTATATGAACAAAATATTTTTATATTTGATAAATTGATAATATTTACATTGGATCACTGCTGGCAGAAAATAGTGAATAATTACGATTATGAGTCATTTAAATATTTGATTTTAAAGAGACAAATATTAAAAAAAAATAGGAAACATTATCAGTAATTAGCGAATTTGAGTGAATCGCAATCAAACTCATTAGCTTCTTGTATTTATAATTCATTTAAATTCATCCAAGTTTGTCCGATTCAATTTTTGATTTTTGAATAACAAATTTTCAAATTACTTCTAGCCCTCAAACGGACATTTCGAGGTATGGAACAACACCAATACCAATAAAACTTATGGATTTGATTGAAACATAGGTCATGAAATTAGGATGAGCAGATTAGACTATTTTTTTAAATAGATAATACCTCTCAGCTAGACTAAGCAACAGCTAATTCCTACGGCTATCAATAGCTTCAAATATATATATATATATATATATATATATACATATTTTGTCGGTGTCTCTTCTTCTACCGCCCAAAGCCCCACGACACCCACATGATATAAAACTCGCGTGCTTAATTTATTTTTGTTATCTTTTATGTGAATTTTTAATGAAGCCCAGCCGTCATCAGGGCATACAAAAGAATTTCATTTTTTTCTTTTGGTTACATTTTTTACAACATTTTGTTGATATTTCGTCACCAGAGCATACAGTTTTGCTGTTGTTTAGATTATTATATTTGATGTAGCAAACATATAAACACGTACATACATAAATACACACAATAGTATCGATCCAGTCACAAGAAGACAAAGAAGAAGAATAGAAATGTCTCGTGAGCAGAAACTAAATCGATGTGTTATAGAGAGATATTACATAGTTGGGGGGAGGTGTGTATGTATGTGTGGAAAATACAACAACAATCCCCAAAATGACTATAAGCCTACCGGTGTAACCAGTTAACTTGCCCATTTGAGTTTGTAAAGAAGACAGACAGACATTGCTGTAACCCATGTTGGAGACTCATAAAAATTGTCTATGTATTGTTGCTGTTGTTGTTGTTTTTGGTAGATTTTCACGAATCTAATCAAAAAACCAAGGTTACCAACCAAAAAAATAATATACAAACGTACACACACACACATACACCCATAGTCTTAGCTTGCTCACAAATGTAAACAGTTCTGCTCAAGGTCTACTCAACTTTTCGGTTAATTTACATTAGAAAAATATTTGTTGGCTTGACACCTACGTTGTAATGAACACAGGGCACACACACACAAACAGCTACAAATATACGAACACAGTTTCAGCTTCATTATTATATTACAAACAGACATAAATTGCTACTCTTCAAAGTCAGTTGTGTGGGCGTTAACTGTTTTTTTTTTTTGTTATTGTTAGGACTTGGTCTTCATTTCTAATAAATTTTCTTTAAAGCGATTTGTAAGGTTTCGAAAATTGTAAAAGTTTGTATATCCTCGTCCATGAGATTGAAAATGGGAAATATCGGTCCACGTTTAAAATTTTCAAATATGTTTTTCAATGGAATTAACGGTAATTTGATATTTTATTGGGAGACAATTACCGGAGACAATACCGGCCCAGGATTTGAAGTTCCTTCATTTATGGTAAGCCCTTAATTTTCTGTAATTAACTTGTTTAAGACTTTCTCTACCTGAATTGTGTCGAATTCAATATTTTGGGTCTTAAATTGGGTTCTGATATTTCGGAAGTAAATTTTCCTACCAAAAAAAAAATAATAATACGGCGTTTCTTCTGGTATAGTTCTGCATTATGTAGGATCCGCCTCATTATAGGAATTTTATTTGTCCAAGGAGCTTTTTCGAAGCTATGGTACAACAATTTGGCATTCCGGATTCTTGGATGATTAAAGACATCCATGCAGAAAATATTTCGATATAGCTTATCATGCAAAGATTCCACACATTTCAATATCGATTATTCTTTTGATGTAGTTCCATTACACCATACCCTAAAATTTTCGGTATTTTATAGATTGTAGAAAATTTCTCCAACCGAATTGACTCGAATTTGATATTTTGGCTTCTCACTGGGCGGTAAATCGTTCTATCAAAAATATCATTATTCGTGCATATTTTGCTATAGCCTCGATATAGCAAACTCACCATTTATTGATTATTGCCTCTAAGGGTCTATAATTTGACTTACGGATTATTGGATGATGTAAGACCTTCATACAGAACATATTTTTTTACATAATCCCCATATAAAGACCCCGTGAATTTTCGCTCAGGAATGCCCTCAGGAATGCACTTTGTAATCCTAGGATAATCCTCTTGGATTATTTGGAACATAAGGTACTGTTATTTGGCATTCCGGATTCTTGGCACCTAAGCAGAAATTGTTTTTACATTTACATTACATACCGCCCATTTTCGGTACGTTTGTAGTTTTTTCCTGTATCCTATTTGGTAATTTGTTTTCCACAGATGATAATAATTCTCGTAGAAACCAAACGATTTTAGGTATTTTAAATGTTCACCTCAGGGTAAAGGATAGAAAAATTCGACCCGGCCGAACTTAACGACTTCTTCAATTGTTCTTCGGATTTCGAATTTGTTTTCTGTTCGCAGTAGCCTATTAGTATAGTCGTCTATCGATGTAAGTATGTAAGAAGTTAGAAATGTTGCGGAATAATTCACTCATTTATCATTTCAACAATTTGAAATATATTTCAAAATTTGCAGTAACGAAATATTTCAATTATTATTATTTTTTGTTGTATGTCTGATTCCTTCTACCATTAATTATAGAATCTAGATAGGTTGTTGGAAATAATTGATTTCAATTTGATTGTTGTTTTATTATTACTGCATACACTTCGGAAAACAATATTTCAATTTTATGCTTGCCCTGAAACAAAACAAAAACAACAACAACGAAAAACAGTAATTGTAATTTATCATAAAAATTCTCTTTGGCAAAATAACAATCGTTTATAGATACTTTCGATTTTTATTATTTTATGGTTCGATTATTATGCAAAAAGAAATAAATATATACATGAATGTGTAAATAATACAAATTACAAAACAAAATGCCTTGGGCCCATTTGTGATTTAAATGTTGTTTGAAGAAAAAACAAAACAGAAATAAATAAATGTTGGCATTTTCAAAACGACACAACCTAACCACCCACCCACCATATAGATATGTTGCGTTGTACCAACACCTCTCAAATCCCTCTGCATTGTTTCCTCATAGACATGCATATGTATGTATTGTCTTGTTGTCTTAATTTTATGTATTTTTGTATTTATATGTTCATTTAATTAATAATAATTGCATTGGAGGTGGGTGAGAGAGAGAGGGAGGGAGCAAGGTGTCCACTGATCAAATTGACGATTTATTTTATTGGTCAAGTTCTATTTTTTTTCTGTGGAGCAACAGAAGCAGCAGCAAAAAATTCAATTGCTAATAGCCATAATTGTAATAATAATAGAGTAATGACAGCAACAAGAACCACACTGGCACGACAAACAATAAAATTAATTATTTAATGTTCTTTTTAGAAAAAGCAAAAAAAAACAAATGAAACAAAGATTTTATTGTTCATTTTATTTATGTGTCACGTTGAGATCTTTTTTATCGGATTGCCACAGAAGAAAACTCAAGGGCTAATAAATTACAATAACGTAGGTGTTGGAAGAGAAACAGGCGATAGAAATCGAACAAAATGAAAACAGAAACACAAGTTTTTTGAGAACGTTAGAAATTCTCCATTACTCTCAATATAAAAAATGTGGCCGATGAAATCGCCTTTGGTATTCGAAATTAGAAAATTAGATTAGTATGCATCAATTGCCAATTTGTGTTCCAATTGCTGAAACTATGCCACATGTCATGTCTCAATCATGACTTCATTTTTTCTTCTCCTATATAAAAACATCTAAACTTTTTTTTGGTTTTGTTTTTTTTTTTACTCTCCCCTTACAAGCTGACGACTAGCTGTCTGTCCACTATACTATGTGCATGATATTTCCGTGTATATGTATGAAAAAATAGACGAGGTATTTGCAAAGCAAGCGTGTAAAGCTAACTATTACTAGCATCATGCTTTGCATCACATCATTTTTCCAGCAGAATTTCAAAAGCGGCATTATTTCTCTACGTATGTATGTGTGTGTGTTTTTTGTTTTGTTTTTCTGTCCATTGTGATC